CCCCCTCAATGGTGACACCCGGGGTGGCCCACACCCACCGCAACCCCTTCCTTCGCCCCTGCTGTCACATTTCCAAGGCCCCTTTCCTCCTTGAGGTGAAATTGTGATTTGCTCTCAGCGAAACTTTCTCTGCTTGATGTTCTCAGAACTGTGCCTTAAATAATAATAATAATAAAATTTTATTTATATCCCACTCTCCCTAGCCGAAGCCAGGCTCAGAGCGGCTAACAACAATAAAATGATACACATTCTAAAATCATTTCATTATAAAATTAATTCAAATCAGATTAATGGCAACCATTGGGCTAGAGTTCTGTGAGGATTGCCAAAGGCTGTGCCCTGGCCAAAGGCCTGGTGGAACAGCTCTGTCTTGCAGGCCCTGCGGAAAGATGTCAAGTCCCCCAGGGCCCTAGCCTCTTGTGACAGAGCATTCCACCAGATTGGAGCCACAGCCGAAAAAGCCCTGGCTCTGGTTGAGGCCAGCCTAACCTCTCTGTGGCCTGGGACCTTCAAGATGTTTTTGTTTGAAGACCGTGTGTGTGCATTTTAGCATGTGTCCAATCGTTGCTCCTCAGGGGGAAAAAAAAAAAGGTTGTTAAGTCACTTAATCTCTACACCATTTCTAGAAAGCACATAACCGGTAGGGCCTCCCATCTGTTTGAGGTCCTAGAGCCGTTCCCAAGGGACCAAGCGTTCTCTCTAGCTGCAGACACCGTTCAAGCAGCCGATATTTTAATAGCAGCTCACCATTCTGTCTCCGGGTTCCTCCCCGCCCTCTCCATCCCACCCTGCCTTTATAAATACTGAAAAGATGAAATCAACTTAAGTGTGGAGATGCATCTCTCCTGTGGCTTTTGCAATTATCGTCTTCCTCCAAGCTATATAAATCGCACACATTTAATATATTGTTATCTCCAGTCTGTTTACACTAATTTTCATTTATACAATACATCTAGTATAACAGAGGCAGAGCCAATTTCTTTCTCTCTCTCTCTCTCTCTCTCTCTCTCTCTCTGGCTTTCTTTTCTTTCCCCCTTTTTGGGGGTTTTGTATGAAAGCCTTCAGGGAAGCTTGTAGCTTTTGATCGTTCTCTACTTTGATGTAAGCAAATGTTTTAAGTTCTGCTCCAGCGGAATGTTTCCAGCGCATATTCATTAATGATGCAAGTTCTCTTGCCTTTTGCTGGCTAGACTATTTATAGTTCATTCTCTGTGTGTTTTATCTTCCTTGTAGTCATGAAGGCAAAAAAAAGCAAGCAAGGAAAGACAAACCACCACAGCTCTTCCTTTGTCCGATCTTATCCAATCAAGTGGTGGGGTTTTTTTTTGGGGGGGGGGGGTTGCATTTACTAACTGCTAGAGATGTGTGAAACTATCAATTTCTGTTTCATTCTTCCAATCTCGAATTTGGTTCTCCACATTTTCATGTCAGTTAGTGATTTATTTCCTTCAAAAATTCCCCATGAAAATTCACCAGCATTTGGGTGTGAATTTCTAAAATAGAGATCTCTTAATGCATTTTTACTTAATTTTTGCAAGGAAACTCCCTAATCATAATGTTATTTTCACCAATATATGCATTTTATGCACACAACACTCTTGTAAATACACTTTTCCACACATTACGTGGCTAGACAATTGAAACGCAAAATTCAGAGCAGCGCAGATTTCGAAGGGCAGCTGTGTTTCAATTCACATGCTGTTTTACAAAGTTCCAAACAGATAAGATTTGTCTTTAAATGTGGAGTGAACTGAATCCTGCCCCCTCATCCCTTCTAGCTTAAATCAACTAGGAACTGCAGACTAGAAACACTGTGTACTCTATCAGTGCTGAAAGGACTTCAGACCAACAACAATGAACTCTTGCTGATTAACTAAGATGAGCCACTGGATTAACAGTTCAGCCTTGCCAGAGATGGTTCATTTTCTTCTGCAAATATTCTTCTCTGGCCACCTCTTGCATATCAGTAAAGGTAAAAGGACCCCTGGATGGTTAAGTCCCATCAAATTCAACTATGGGGTGCAGCGCTCATCGCTGCTTTCAGGCTGAGGGAGACGGAGTTTGTCCACAGACAGCTCTTCTGGGTCATGTGGCCAGCAGGACTAAACCGCTTCTGGTGCACAGAGGACCGTAATGAGTGCCAGAGCGAATGGAAACGCCATTAACCTTCCTGCCGCAGTGGTACCTATTTATCTAATAAACTGCTAGGTTGGCAGGAACTGGGGGAAAACAATGGGAGCTTACCCTGTCTTGCATATCACACCCTCCTTATACAGGGCGAATCCTTTAAAAGAGGCCCTGTGGATACAGAATAAACATGTTCCACGGGGCCTCTTTTAAAAAACTCACCCTGTATATGTATCTTTCTGTCTATGCACCTCTGATGTATGTTGTGCTGTGTGGGTGGGTGGTCCACACAAAGATTTAATGCAGACTCATCTCACTACATAGAATCTCTTATTTTTAAACGAAATTTTTGTGCTGATCACATTTCTATCTATCGAATCAATAGGAGTATCAATAGGAGTATAGCATCTAGATCAAGGGAAGTAATAGTGCCACTGTATTCTGCTCTGGTCAGACCTCACCTGGAGTACTGTGTCCAGTTCTGGGCACCACAGTTCAAGAAGGACACTGACAAACTGGAACGTGTCCAGAGGAGGGCAACCAAAATGGTCAAAGGCCTGGAAAGGATGCCTTATGAGGAACGGCTAAGGGAGCTGGGCATGTTTAGCCTGGAGAAGAGGAGGTTAAGGGGTGATATGATAGCCATGTTCAAAGATATAAAAGGATGTCACATAGAGGAGGGAGAAAGGTTGTTTTCTGCTGCTCCAGAGAAGCGGACACGGAGCAATGGCTCCAAACTACAAGAAAGAAGATTCCACCTAAACATTAGGAAGAACTTCCTGACAGTAAGAGCTGTTTGACAGTGGAATTTGCTGCCAAGGAGTGTGGTGGAGTCTCCTTCTTTGGAGGTCTTTGAGCAGAGGCTTGACAACCATATGTCAGGAGTGCTCTGATGGTGTTTCCTGCTTGGCAGGGGGTTGGACTCGATGGCCCTTGTGGTCTCTTCCAACTCTATGATTCTATGATTCTATGAAATAGACTTCTGCCCTTTGGTATGCCAAATCACCCATTCAGACTCCTTGCCCTCGCTGGGCATCCGTTAGTCTTGGGGGGACAATGGAGGGCAGGGCACAAACCAATGGCTTCCAAGTTACAAGAAATGAGATTCTGACTCCACATCAGGAAGAACTCTCTGATAGTGAGAGCTGTTTGACAGTGGAACGGTCTCCCTTGGAAGGTGGTGGGCTCTCCTTCCATGAAGGTTGGTCTCGGCGGCTGCTCCCAGTCACCAGTCTAGCTGCCACATTCTGGATTAGCTGTAGTTTCCGGGTCACCTTCAAAGGTAGCCCCACATAGAGCACATTGCAGTAGTCCAAGCAAGAGATTACTAGAGCATGCACCACTCTGGCGAGACAGTCCGCGGGCAGGTAGGGTCTCAGCCTGCATACCAGATGGAGCTGATAAACAGCTACCCTGGACACAGAATTGACCTGTGCCTCCATGGACAGCTGTGAGTCAAGAATGACTCCCAGGCTGCGCACCTGATCCTTCAGGGGCACAGTTACCCCGTTCAGGACCAGGGAGTCCCCCACACCCGCCCGCCTCCTGTCCCCCCAAAACAGTACTTCTGTCTTGTCAGGATTCAGCCTCAATCTGTTAGCCGCCATCCATCTTCCAACCGCCTCCAGACACTCACACAGGACCTTCACCACCTTCACTGGTTCTGATTGTTTGATTCTATACAGAGAAATCTCTGGCCTCTATGGCTGGAATGTAGCCTATTGTTTAAAGGTAAGAGTCACACCTGTGGCTCCAACCACTTTTCTCCTGCCCATGTGGCACCCCAAAAGTTGCCTGTGAGGTAATGTGCCACTTGGGGTGAAAAGGGACCTCCTGCCTGGTGTAAAAGGATTACAGCTTCAAGTTATTAGTCTTTTGAGGTACCACAAGACTTTCCCCTGTTCTTTTATCTTACTGCGAGCTTCAGGAATTTGCATTGTTAGCTGCAGTCAGGGCAGATACAGTGAGATACGGAAGACACACAGCAACTACCATAACGAAGGCCGGATAATTACACTGTGGGCAAGCAAAAGGAGGAGGAAAGATTAAAGGAAGAGATATGCAGATACATGAAGGTGAAAGCAAAGCTGATCTCAATCAGATCTAATGGCCTCCTGACCACCTTGCTGATTAAAACAGATATAGGCAGAAACTTCTGGGAATCTAAAACCGAGAAAGTTCAGGGGTGGCGGTGGCTGGGGAGAGAGGGTTGCAGAGTGTGGAAGGGCTGAAAAGTGCAGCTGGGAAACTGGAACTGCGGGAGGAACACAAAGATTCGGTTTGACTCGAAAGCTAAACAAACAAATCCTCTGATCACCAAAGTAGCAAATAAGGCGGAACACAATGGAGACCCTCCAACTCAAACAATGGGGAAGCTTGGGAATAGGTTTTGCCCTGACATAAGAAGGTCGGCTTTAACCCCTCCCGGTCAACAGGACTTGTATTCCCACCCGCCAGTGACTGGTTTAGAAGTTTGCTCTCCTTTTGTACAGCTTCCATGGGACCCCCTCGCATCAACATGAAGGGTAGCTGTATTGGTTTAAGGCAGTCTTTGTTTGCTTGGCGCTTTCGAGAAATTTGGGACTACAACTCCCATCAGCCCCAGCCGGCTTGAGCAGGGAGGGGGTTGCAGGTCTGATCCAAGCTCTCTTGGAGGAAACTGATTTTCTAGATTCATTTCGACCGGGGTTTAGGCCCGGTTGAAGACATGGGGAGATATCATTGTGAAGCGGCTGTCTGAGCTGCGGAGAGGTGGCACCACTTTGCCATGGTTCTGATTATACTTAGAATAATAGAGAATCGTGGAGTTGTAGAGTCGAAAGGGACCCCGAGGACTGTATGGTCTGATCCCCTGCAATGCAGGAATATGCAGCTGTCCCATGCAGGGATCGAACCTGCAGCCTTGGTGTTATCAGTACTGCACTCTAACCAACTGAGCTATAAGGCCACACTTCCAGAGAATGGTTCTTGGGGGATACAGGCAGCTCCCCATTTAAGTTCCAAGGCACCGCACGTTTAAGTGAAATTGTGTATATTTGAAATGCCCTGGGAAAAGCCCGCAAAAGCCCTGCCCCACCCCTTTTGGTGATGTTTCCGGATCACTTCCGGGTTTGGCGTGATATGCACATGCGCAGTTGTGCAGGTATCAGATGTGCCTAAAATGGTCACTGCCTGTATTGTTTGGCCCCGTGGAGTGTGGGGTTCTGCAGGACTCAGTTTCATACTCCCTGGCTGTTCAACATCTGATGAAACCACTAAGAGGGGTCATCCAGAGCTTCAGGGTACATTGTCGGCAATATCCGGATTTCTACTTCTCCTTTGCATCTGCAGGTGTGGCAGTGGATTGATGGACTGATGTCTTGCCTTCATAATGGACTGGACAAGAGCAAATAAACTGAAGCTCAACCCAGAAAAGACAGAGGGACTTACTAGTGTGTGGCTCCCTAGACTGGGTGAGGTGGGTGTGCCCTGCTCTGAATGGGGTTCACTTCCTCCAAAGGAGCAGGTGTGTACGTTGGGGGCACTTCTGGAGCCAGTGTGGTGTAGCGGTTAAGAGCAGTGGACTCGTAATCTGGCGAACCGGGTTCACTTCCCCGCTCCTCCACATGCAGCTGCTGTGTGACCTTGGGCTAGTCACACTTGTTTGAAGCCTCTCAGCCCCACTCACCTCACAGAGTGTTTGTTGTGGGGGAGGAAGGGAAAGGAGATTGTTGGCCACTTTGAGACTCCTTCGGGTAGTGATAAAACGGGATATCAAATCCTAACTCTTCTTCTTCTTCTATTACTGTCCCTGAGGCTCAAGTGGTCTCAGTGACACAAAATGACTTACACTAGCTATTGCCCAGCTGTGCATCCATCGGGACAAGGGAAGCATAACTCCTGTTGCCTATGCTCTGGTTACCTCTAGATTAGATTACTGCAATGTGTTGATATGTGGGGCTGCCCCTGAAGATAGTTCGCAAACTGCAGCTGGTACAGAATTAGGCAGCCAGGTTGCTCACCGGGGCAAGGCAAATCTGAGCACATAATGCTACCAATTAGTTTCTGGGCTCAATTCAAAGTGCCGGGTTTTGAATCTTAATTTTAGTGGGGTGGGGTTGGGCTGTTTATACAGATATATATCATTTGTGCATTTTCTCCAAGGAGCTCAAGGTGGTATACATAATTTATTTATAATAATTTATTATTATATATATTTATTTATAATAATTTATTATTTATACCCCGCCCATCTGGCTGGGTTTCCCCAGCCACTCTGGGCGGCTCCCAATAGAATATTAAAAACACGATAAAACATCAAACGTTAAAAAATTCCCTGAACAGGGCTGTCTTCAGATGTCTTCTAAAAGTCAGGTAGTTGTTTATTTCCTTGACATCTAATGGGAGGGCGTTCCACAGGGTGGGCACCACCACCGAGAAGGCCCTCTGCCTGGTTCCCTGTAACCTCACTTCTTGTAGTGAGGGATCCACCAGAAGGCCCTCAGAGCTGGACCTCAGTGTCCGGGTAGAACGATGGGGGTGGAGACGCTCCTTCAGATATACTGGGCCGAGGCCATTTAGGGCTTTCAAGGTCAGCACCAACACGTTGAATTGTGCTCAGAAATGTACTGGGAGCCAATGTAGGTCTTTCAGGACCGGTGTTATATGGTCTTGGTGGTCTTGGTGGTTCTCCCTCTCCTCATTTAATCCCCACAACAACCCTGTAAAGTTAAGATGAGAGTGAGTGACTGGCTCAAGGTTCAGAGCTTCATAGCTGAGTGGGGATTCGAACCCTGGCCTCCCAGGTCCTAGTCCTACACTTACTGCTATACCACCTTGAACCCTTAACATGCTAGTTTTCAGTGAGTTTTGTCCAACTTCAGTTCTACTCAGAGTAAAACCCACTGAAATTAAAGGAGATGACTCACTCAGGTCCATAGATTTTCAAGTCACTCCACTCTGAGTATAACTTAGTTGCACAGAGAGTTTTGGGGTTGTTTTCTCCTATGGAAGAGTAATATTTTTTTTCCCACATGACCCTCCTGAAGGTATGAACTGCTGCTGAGGTTGGGTTTGCATCATGACTGATTATTTTCCTGTTCTCTCTTTAAAAAAACAAAAATCACAATAATGCACATTGTAATAAGGAAAGTGTGTCACAAGGGGGAATAATCATGCCTTGACATTTATTTTAATTCACTATTTCTGCCTGAGATTCTGCTTGCTATACCACTTTCAAATCTTCATCCTGATAAAATGTCAACCCCATTAACACGCAAAACGCATCTCCCAGAGTGGCAACATTATTTTCTAAACTCTGCTTTACGCATCACAAAGAAACAAGACAGGAGAGGGAGGGGACTAAGCAGACAGCAGCAGCGCTAGGGGGTTTGCTGTTTAGACATGTATTTCCTGCATTTATATCTCGCCTTTTCCTCCAAGGAGCTCAAGGTGGCATACGTGGTTCTCTCCCCCTTCTCATTTAAGCTCCACAAAAACCCTTCAAAGTAGGTTAGGCTGAGAGGCAGGGACTGGCCCAAGGTCACCCAGCCAGTTTCGCGGCCGAGTGGGCATTTGAACCCTGGCCTCCCGGCTCCTAGTCCAACACACTGTGGCGATCACACAGGGACCCTGGACGTTTCACCGTCTATGGATCCCTGTGCCACCACTTTATTTCTTGCTGCCACCACCCAGGCCCTACCTGGTACAATACTGAGTCCAGTCAGGGTTAAATTGGAACATAAACCTCTGTTTATTTATTGCAGTTTAACAAGCGTGTGGTTTCATAAACGGTATTGGTCAATTACAATCATAGGGTGCCTATCCGGACCTATAACTTCCGCTACCTGCTCCCACTCACTAAACCACCTCTCAGATATTTACTTGTCTTCCTAGCTCCTAACTGTTCCTGACTCAGCTTATTTCGCTACACTAACTCAACCTACCCACAGACTCTATCCCAATTCACTCCCACTCCAACCAACCACCCAACTCCCAATGAACTCCTCCCTTCGCCCCTCCTAGAGCTGGTTTTATAGTCCCTCTGACTCCACCCCCCCGGGTTCTGATTGGGTAACTTGCTTAACTATTTCACCTCCAGCACTCTCATATGTTAACGTCACATACACTAACCACTGCCTGTAGTAGAATCACAAGGCCTACGCTTCAGAGATCTCCCAAGCAGAACCAGATGCAAAATAGCAGTTCAAGAGTAGAGATATACATCTGAGAAGATGCACAGCCCCGGCAGACGAAATTAATGGACTATGCAGAATTAGATAAGATGACAGGAAGGATCCGAAACCTGCGGGATCAGAGATTCTCAGAGGACTGAAGTAAATATTTAAATTATTTGAAAAGGCATTGTAATAAACAGATCACGCTCATAGGACTCCAAGAAGTTCTGTAAGGAGGATTATGTGAAGTATTGCAGAGAAGATTATGAAGAGAGTTAAGAGTTAAGGATAATTAAAAGTAATAGAGAAATTAAGAAATGTAGATTAAGTGAAAAAGATTGGAAAATCTTCAGATGCGGTTGATGGAAGTCCAAAACATTGTATAAGATAAGAAAGTATGTTATATGATTTTTGAAAATTATTTGTAAAAATCAATACAGTGGTACCTCGGGTTAAGTACTTAATTCGTTCTGGAGGTCCATTCTTAACCTGAAACTGTTGTTAACCTAAAGCACCACTTTAGCTAAAGGAGCCTCCTGCTGCTGCCGTGCCTCCGGAGCACGATTTCTGTTCTCATCCCGAAGCAAAGTCCTTAACCCGAGGTAATATTTCTGGGTTAGTGGAGTCTGTAACCTGAAGCGTATGTAACCTGAGGTACCACTATATATATATAGAGAGAGAGAGAGAGAGAGAGAGAAGATTCATAGCCCAGGAATTTTGCTTCCAGTCCCAGAAACTCAGCTCACAGCCCTGTTTCTGGGGAGGGGGGGGACCTCTTAGGGTTCCTCCATGCCCCCACCCCATCCAAAATAACTATAGAATCCTAGATTATAGAGGTGGAAGGGACCCCAGATCATCTAGTTCAACCCTCTGCAATGCCAGAATCTCACGCATGACTAACAGATGGCCATCCAATCTCTGCTTGAAAACCTCCAAGGAAGGAGAGTCCACCACCTCCTGAGGGAGCCCGTTCCACTTGTCAAACAGCTCTTCCTATCAGAAGTTCTTCCTGATGTTGAGTCGGAATCTCATCTCTTGTAACTTGAAGCCCATGCAGGAAGTGACCAGTGACAGGGTCTTTTTTGGTTGTGGCACCCCAGATTATTGGGGGAGCGTGGGGGGGGGATCAGATGCAAAGCTAAAACACACAGCATGTTCAATCGCCAAAGGAGTGAGTAAAGAAATGTGAGGGTGATAAATGCTCCTTCATTGCATCCCGCCCCCCACAAAATACAATAATTCCTTTCTGCAGCCACAAACCTTGCAAATTCTATACTTTTCCAAAGTGCAAAATCAACATCTGTTCATCAACGTTTGTCACCAAAATCAAGCCACACGACAGATGAAGCACTTTTCATTTTGTGTCAAGCCATTTGTCCACTTTGCCTAGGACTATTTGCATCTAGCTATAGCTCCCCAAGGTCACAGCGACCTTTCCAACTCTACTATGTGAGATCCAAGAAGAAGAAGAGGAGACCTGGAGATGCCTAGGATTGAATTTATGACCTTCAGGGTGCAAAGCTCGAATTGACCACTGGCCTATAGCCTCTCCCAGGAAAGAACAGAGGAAGCTACCTTATTGTGAGTCAGATCATTGATTCCCCCTATTCTCTACAACAGGGGTAGCCAACCTGCTACCCTCCAGATCATGTTGGACCACAACTCCCACCAGCCCCAGCTAGAATGGCCAAGGTGAGGGATGATGGAAACTGTGCTCCAACCACATCTCAAAGGCACAACGTTGGCAGCTGCTAGTCAACACTTCCTGGCAACAGGTCTCCAGGGTTTCAGGAGCATAGAGATGCCAGGATTGAATCTGGAACCTTCTGCACGCAAAGCAGATGCTCTAACCACTGAGCTACAGCCCTTCCCTGTCCACCCACTGATGTGGAAAGTCAAGATATAATTAGGGATAGATGGATCAGTTTCTGGTCAGCGTCTCCTCTGAATTCACAAGTCCATTCTGTGCCATTTCTGTATTAATCTGCATTTTTAAAACAACAACAACAACAACACAACAACTCTGCATTGAAGCCCACATCCAAATACTTTGCTGCAAGTTTTTTCTTACAGAATTGGAATTTCTGAACGTCTTTTTTAAAACACAAAATTCAAAGACATGCATCTTTTTGACACTCTTTCTGAGCCAAGCACAGCACCACGACATTCAGGAGAACGTGAAATCCAAAGGACATCGACATTCTGACATCCACATGTCAATACATGGTACGTGGGTCAGGATTGCTTCCTATCAGAATTTGCAAAGCCCCCCTGGAGACAACCCTACCCATCGGTTCAAACGTAACACAAATCTGATGAACTGCCATAGTTTTTATAGCCAGTGATCCCGTATAGACTTATGCTCTTAAAAATATACGGTCGGCTGTTAGGTAGCATCCATTCCATGCAGTCCCAACAACTGATACGCAAAGTCAGGTAGTGTTTTAGCAACTAAGGTATCATAGGAAAGCAAATTGAAATAAATGTGGGTTTTATTTATTTTATTTTTTAAAAAACCAGCGCTTACCTCTTTTAGATGCCTCCCCCTGCCTTCTGCCAACCTAAAATAGTGGCTCCAAATCCTTCACAAGGAATGTCAGGCTGCTCCATCTACATTGCAGAGCTGTTCAATCATCTGCTTTTAGGTTGAGCCATTTACCAGACATCATTGTTATCTTTCCCCCCCTCTGGGGTGGAAAACAAAAACCAAAAATCTGACAAGGTACCAGGGCCTTAACAACCTTGATGAACAGAATCCGGGCGGAGAAGAGGTAAAGAACAACAAGGATGCAACTTCAGTGAACAAGTCAAAGTCAGCCGTTGGGTTTCCTTTTCTAAGGCAGAGGGAAAGGAAGAGCTCTTTGCTAACCTCGTTGAACCGCTCGGCTTCTGCAGACCAGGAAAACTCCGGCAAGCGGTCGGCTTGAATGGAATGCAAAGGCATGCTCCCAGGGACCGGCCTTTGCCTCGCCAGCCTTTCATTATTTACACTTTTCTATCTGAATGCTTTAGAAAAGGGCTTTAGAAAAGACACTCCCCCATTGTCGGGGGGCCCCCTCCCTCTCCTTCGACAGGAACTTGTTGTGTTGTCGAAGTTCCTCTCATTTAAAGCTGAAGGGAGGGAGAAGCCGTCCTCAATGGCATCGCCAGGTGCTGGGAGAGGAGGAGGAAGACAGGAGGTCTCTTTCAGGCCCAGAAGCTTTGAAATCTCCCCATCTTTGTCCTCCGTGCTTTTCAACAAGCTGGCTCTTTAGGAGCCGTCGCACCTTAATTCAGATTTTGCTCCCCCTCTTCGCCCCTGATTGAAGGTATTAAAAGAAGCAGGGGAAAGAAAGAAAAAGCAGCATGGAAAAAATTGAGCAGAAGGTGGGTGGGAGAGGGAAGGCACAATCCGGTGGCGAAAGAGAGGGAAGTTCATACCACAAAATGAAAACCAACAGGAGGCCAGAGCATTTTAAAGATTCTGAAATCTTCCTCAGGGGTAATTCAAAGAGAGGTTCCCTTTCACGGGCCGAGTTCTCCCTCTGGCTTTCGATGATCCCCGAGGAAGATTTTTAAAGCAAAATGTATTGTGTGGCGATTCCCACCTCCCACCAGTTGGAATAAATGAAGACACAGGACACCGTTATTTTAGGTTAATGGGCAAAAAATGGCCACAACTTTATTGGTTACAGGTAAGAGGCATTTGGCTTTAGGCATTGGTCCTATCAGACTATCCGGCATGAGAACCAGAAAGGGTTAACACCAACAGGGGGAGCCCCCGAGATGCACATCCCTAGGCACTCCCCGAGGGGTCACCGCTCGGGGGGGCGCTTTAGGCCCTGGCCTCCATAGGTTTTGGACGAGGCAACGCCCCCCGGAATCCTTTATCGGACTACCCTTAAATATTTGGGGGAGGTGATGGCGCTCCCTCCCTAACTCATCTGCATAATAATACCCCCTACCAATGGCTAACCACCAAACCAAGGACGTTGTAACAATTTGCTACGAGGTAGGTGAAAAAACCAAATGGCGTTTTTTTTTATTGCCAATCTGCCAAATGGAAAAATTCCTGCCTTGCGGCAACCAACCGAGGTCCATAGCAAGGTCAGAGGGAATACCTAGAGGGTGGGTGGGTGGGTGGGAAACCGCAGCTGCTGCGAGGACAAAAAGGGGAGATCCCGGGGCCGTGCCGACCTTAAGTGACCCAGCCACGCCCCCTGGGCCAGCCGATTGGCTAGCCCTGGGGCTGACACGGCCTGAGGATTCCCCAGGTCGCGCGGGGCTGAAGCCAGCCCCACGCAGTTGTTGGGGGCGTGAGCCCGCAACTCCCCCCCTCCTTATGTCAGGAGTGGCTTTGCGCTCCGAAGGATGTTTGCCGCTTTTGGAAGGTAGTATTCTTCTACGCCTCTTTGTAGAAGCCTTGCCTCTTCGTCACCTCGACTTTGATGCCATTTTCAAAACAAAGCTCTCCATGTGGGTGCCTGAATTCGGACGCTCAAAGCCTGGGGTGGCCGAAACCAGGTTTCCTCTAGCTGTTGCTGGACTACAACTCCCATCATCCCTGAGCACTGGCTTTGCTGACTGCTGCTCATGGGACCTGGAGTCCAAGCACATCTGGAGGATGCAATTTTAGCTATCCCTCCCCCTAAGTGATGTGTAGAGGAAGGTGGGGAAAGAGGCAAAAGAATTCAGGCAATTTAGGAAAACAGCCAACATTTAAGCAGGTGAAGAAAATGGCATTGTTAAAAAGTAACCACTGGCTTCCTAACTGATACACCCATACCCTTCTCTCCCCCCTCACCAGCCAAAAAAATATTTAAGTATTTTCAAAATATAATTAATATATATATATATTTAAATATTTAATATTTGAGAATAAAAATATTCTCAGTTAAGTTTCAGACTCCAGCTTAAAATTGTTTTATTCCAGGAGGTCTTTGCACCATGAATGCTCTCCTAATATTTCCATTTACTGATTCATTCAAATTTTAAAAAATAAAAAATATTTACCGCTATTGTGTGTGGTTTTTTTAAAAAAAGAAATCAAAGGGTTTACTGCAAGCGTACATACAAGCAAAACCAAGCTGAAGTATTAAAACCAGAGACCATCGGCTAATTATTGCAGATACAAGTGCAACAGCTTGGCAGTGTAAAGGAGTTTAAAGGTGAGAACAGAAGGTGTCTGCTCAATCTCGGCTGACACAGCATGCCGCTGAAAGCTCAGTTTCCTGTTGCTGTCCGATGGGCCTCGCCAACTCAAGAGGCAACCCACAACTCTCCTGGCAAGCTGGGATATAAACTGATGCTTGAGTCAATGTGTTATATTGTATGCTTTGCATCACATTCATCCTGTGCTTTACCAATTGCACTGGCTCCCGGTGGAGTACAGGGTCAGGTTTTGACGTTTAAAGCCCTATATGGCCTAGGACCCACATACCTACAGGACCACCTCTCCTGCTATGCCCCGCGGAGGACCTTAAGGCCCACAAATGACAACACTTCGGAGGTCCCGAGCCTCAAGGAGGTTAGATTGGTTTCAACTAGGGCCAGGGCCTTTTCAGCACTGGCCCCAACGTGGTGGAATGCTCTGTCACAAGAGACTAGGGCCCTGCAGGACTTGACATCTTTCTGCAGGGCCTGCAAGACAGAGCTGTTCCGCCTGGCCTTTGGTTTGGACTCAGTCTGACCCTTATGTTTCCCTCCCCTTATGGTCTTGATTTATCGGCTATTTTAAAATGAGGCTGCATTTTAAATTGCATTTTAACCTGTATTTTAAATTTGTCCCCCCCCGCCCCCTTTCCCCCTATTATGCTTTTACTGTGATTTTATTGGTGTTAGCTGCCCTGAGCCCGGCTCTGGCTGGGGAGGGCGGGGTATAAATAAAATTTATTATTATTATTATTATTATTATTATTATTATTATTATTATTATTATTATACTGTATGCCCTGCTCCACAAGCCAACTTTCAGACCTAGCAACAAGCAGGTAATAAATTCCTGAACAAACAGACATAAGAAACACCACTCGTTTCCATCACTGGCCAACACGGAGACTTGAAATTCTCATAGGCAGTGGATCTAATGAGAGGAAATCAGGGGTTTTGTGTGTTTCTCCTCCCCAAAGCAAATAACCAGCTTGCTTTTGAGAAAAGGATGCTGAGCTCTGGGAAACTTCCTGGCTGGATCGCATCAGAAACAGCCAACTGAGCTGGGGCTGAGGGGTGTGTGTGTGTGTGGCAGTAACACTACAGCGACAATGGCCTCAATCTGAGCTAGAAGTCTTCCCTGGCAGGCCAAACGTCAGACACAAACGCGAAGCGAGAAAGGGCCTTGTGGCACCCGCCACTCGACTGTTTGCCTCTTGTGCACGTAATTAGGTTGGGTTCACCAGCGTCTTTAATTAGTGTGTCTGCTAACGCGATTAGGCTATTTGTGCACACACAATTCATGCAATTATTTGGGCTTCCACCGGCCTTTTCCTCCGCTCTGCCCCTACAACTCAGAAGGCCACCTGCTTTGTTGTCAAGAGAGGACTTGCATGGGAAATTGCATGGGTGATGACCTCCCCTCTTCACATATGGATGCAAAGATCCTTCCAGTGCAGGTGGGGGCGGGAAGAGAGAGAAAGAATAGGGCATCTTTGGCACGGAGCTTACCCTTTATCTTTAGGACTCTTTCAATGGCACAGATGGACCTCCCCCTCTGCCCTGGTCCATTGCCAGAAAGGGAAGGTCCGTAGCTCCATGGGAGAGACTCTGCATTGCATGCGGAACATCTCAGATTCAATCCTGGGTATCGTACTGTCTGGGGCTGATGTGAGTGGTGGTCCAAAACAGCTGGAGGGCACCAGGTCAGGCAGGGCCGGATTTAGGTTTGATGAGGCCC